GAGAGAGAATTATTGATTGGCTGCCTCCTACAGGCCCCACACTGGGGATTGAGCCCGCAACTCGTGCATGTACCCTGATTAAGACTCGAACCTGATTAAGACTCCTGGTTCATAGGTCAATGCTCAATCACTGAACCACACCGGCTGGGCTGGAAAAATCTCTTTTGATTAGAATTAATAGAGGGCTCAGAGGGAATAAATAGTGATGGGGGGGAGGAAAAATAATCTTTCATTATAAAAGAGAATAATTGAGATCTTTAGTTTTCCAGTTAATTTGAGGATGGGAAAAATAGTTTTGTGGAGGACACTAGTGTGTGTGTGTGTGTGTGTGTGTGTGTTTTAACATAAGAGTTGCTCATTTAACTGATTTTTTTGCTTTCAGTAGCTAGATCAAGAATTAAATAAAAACCTTTTTATGTTTTTCCATGCAAGTGGTTGTTTAAGTCTCTGTTATAGTAGGTTGTTCAAATTAAGATATTTGCCCTGCCTTGGAGAACTGAGAATCAGACTGTTCTTTTAATATGAAAAACAATAAGACTGTGGAATAAAGTGTCTAAAATGAATTACTTTTGATAATTGAAAAATGATAATTTATTATGAACTAAGCACTTTATACATTTTTCATCTATTACTCTTCAGAACAGTCTTATAAGCAGATTCTATTATTAATTTCAATGTGTTGATGATGAAAAGGAGGTGGAGTAAGTTTAAGAAACTTTGCATGGTAACGGATGGAGTTAGAATTTGATATTCACTCCTTGCTACTCAAAGTGTGGTCCCTGGACCAGCAACGTTGGCATCACCTGGGAGCTTGTTAAATATGAAAATCTTGGGCCCCATTGCAGGCCCACTGAATGAGAATCTGACCTGCAATTTATCAAGATCTACAGGTTATTTCTCTGTTCATTGAAATTTGAGAAGTATTGCTATAGTCTTTATTCTTTTTTACTGCTTATAATATTCATAATGTAACTCCCTTTTAATTTATTATATTCCATGTAAACATCATCACATTGTTCATCTGAAACATTAGTAAACTTGCTTGTGGTTATTAAAAAGGTTGGTAATGACTGTTCTGTAAAACTGAGAATGAGGGCAGAAACTTGTCTCTGCTGTTCATTGCCCTTGGTAGGTACTACTTAGAAAACTATTTTTAAGAGACCCTATTCCCAACCTAAATTTTCTTTTTCTTTCATTGCTCAAATCACATGGACTTAAAAGGGCTATATGTCCTTTTATGTTATAAGAGAGGAAGATGAAAAATAGCTCTTCCTTCAAATTGTCTATGTAAATCTTCCACTTGCTGACCACCTGTAAAGGGCCAGACTTGTATTTTTTTATCTCAGGAAATTTCACAGGTAGCAACAGAGATTTGTGTCACCACTTACTGACGTGGAAATTTTAAGCTGAAGGTTTGATATGAAAGCATTATTGATCTAGGTAGCCACGTTTGTGCTTTTTAAAATCTGAGAATTATGTTCATACCGCATCAATTTCATTGTTACCCTGGGACATAGAGCTTATACTTTTGGAAAGTAGTAAAATGCTGTTGAGACCTCACTTTGCAGTCTCACTCAGCTGTGAGAATCAGAAATGACAGCCCTGGTAACAGGCGCATGCGACCACTTTCTGTTTTAAATTTCACAGCGCTGGGATATGAAGCTCCGTCACCTTGGACTGAATAAAAGTGATTCTAGCCATAGCGATTCCACGCAGAGTCAGAAGTCTGGCAGGAACTCCAACCCCCGGCAAGCACGCAACTAAATCCTGAAACGCGGAAAGAACATTGGTGGACTTCCTATTAAGACTTGCATTGTTGGACTAGCAAAGGAAAATTGCACTATTGCACTATTGTCATATTCTATTTTTTACCACAAAAACTCATGTGGTAACTGATATTACTTCTATTTTCTCTTTTGTTTTCTGCTTTTCTCTTTCCTCCTCCCCACCCCCGTTTTTTGTGGTCTGGGTGCAGATCCTTAAATATATTATATGTATTCTATTTCACTAGTCATGGGAAAACTGTTCTTTGCAATAATAATAAATTAAACATGTTGATACCAGGACCTCTTTGCTGGAGTAAATGTTCATTTACTGCTCTGCGCTGAGACTGGGAATGCAACATTGGATACAGAGAGAGAAAGCTAAAATAAGCTGTACAATATACTCAGCTGATCTAATTACAGCCTCATTTTTGCATGCCTTTTGGGCATTCTCTTCAAGCTTAGAAAGTCCTACATGTTTACAAAGGTAAAATAGCAGTTTGAAATAAAATGCTGCATAGGCAAAGCAATCAAGCTGCAGGAAGCATTTATGAGGAAAAGACACACAAGACGAATTATTTGCAAGATTGGCAGGAAGCAAAATAAATAGAGGAGTTGGGGAAAGAACATTTTGCCTGATTGAGAAGCACAACTGAAACCAGTAGCTGATGGGGTGTTAACAGTAGCATTTATCTCTTGGCAATTCATTTGATTTGTTTATGAATACATATATTCGTCAGCATTAGGGAAGTGAATTACAACTAGACATCTGTTATCAGCATAGCTCTGCTTAATTATAAACAAACCCATTGGCGTGAGTCTTTTTTTTCTACTTCTTGTAAAAATGACTTCCTGCATTGACCGAGAAAAGAATGTATGTATGTATGTGTTATTTTTAAAAGGTACGGAGCTCTATAAAATGCTGTAGTTTGCAGGATGGTAAATTGTGGAAGGTTTGTGTGTGTCTGCACACTCACATTCAGCGGGACTGAATTACAGGCCTATGCACTGGCCTGTACTTTATCATTTGGATTTGTGCTGCTTAATGCTCAGTAAAATAGGTCTAATAAAAGGAATTATGAAAAAAGTTGAAAACAATTAGAAGAGGGTACTATAGGCAAATCTATTTTGTAACCTAAAGAAAATTCAAGATTGCCCAGCCAAGTAAAAAATTTCAAAGTTGACTAAGAAGTTGTAGAACATTTCAGTAAATAAAAGTAAAAGGTAATGGGGGAAAAAAGGAATTATGGTTTTCAGGAGAGAGGCTACTCTGACTTTTGAACCAAATACTCTGATTTTGAAACAAGTACACTTTCTCGTTACCCAAACTGCAGTGCAA